CGAGGAGGCCGAGCGGCAGCGCCAGGCCGCGGCGCAGCGGGAGCGGCGCGCGCCGCGCTGGCGGAAAAGGACGTGAAGTGGGGCGCGGGGGGGGGTGTCCCGCACCCCGAGGCTGCGCGGGAAACGGGGTGCTCAGGCTGCTCCCTGGAGGGGATTGGGAGTAGCACAGCTTTTCCTTGCAGCAGCCCGCGCAGCCTCCGCGGAAATGGCCTACAAGGCTCCTTTAGAGAACTCGAGAAAGCCCCGCGTGTCACCGGCACTTTGGGCCCAGTTTTGTGTTCGTGGCCATTGCGTGTAGGACGACTTTACTCCGCGTGTGGGAAGGCCCCGGCTTAAGCTATGCTGCTGGCCGGACACCGCGGCGCACGCCTGTCATCCTGGCTGTTCAGGAGGCTGAGATCTGGGGATCTGGAGGTTCAAAGCCAGCCAGAGCAGCCCTTGAGACTCTGATCTCCAATTAGCTACCAAAAAGCTGAAAGCACACACACACACACACACACACACTCTACTGTTTCTGCAATGAATGTTGGTCATCTTTTCAGGAACTGCTCAGGATTCCCGAGTTCCTCCCACCTTGGCTGTGCGCCTGTGTTACTGCACATAGACAATGGGTTTTAATATTAATTTGATTATGAGATATGGAATATTTGTTTCCAGTTTGTGAAGACAGTGACTACTTTTTTGGGGGGGGGTTGGGTTGTGGGGCCTGAACTCTGGGCCTGGGCGCTGTCCCTCAGCTCTTCAGCTCAAGGCAAGCGCTCTACCACTGAGCCACCTTCCCAACCCAGACAGTGACTTTTCTATTGTAAAATAATCAAGTAGAGGAATCAGATGTGATTGTACCTAATTTTTATTTTTTTAGCAGTAATAGGATTTGAACTCAGCACCTGATGGGCTTGATCACTGGAGACACACCCCAAGCCCTGTGTGCTTTAGTTATTTTTCAGATAGGGGCTCACTTTTGCCTGGGGTGGTGGTGGTCACCTTCGTGTTCCCCCCAAAAAACTGAGATCTTGAACTTTATTCTCCTACTCTCTACCTCCCAAGTAGCTGGAATTATAAGCATGAGCTACCATGCCCAGCTACGTCTTTAGTTTTTTGAAACACTATTGTCACTGAAGTAATAATAATGAGAAAGTTGTCAAATTATTATGAAACAGTGCATAAACATTTATTGCTAGAACTAAAACCATTTAAAGCAAGGAACTACAGGTACACTGAGTAGAAAAGCTTCCACATACTAAACTTAGGTATGAGAAAAAAAACCCATAAAATGGGCTAAATTTAAGAAATGGCTAGTGGAAATACAGACTTAAAAACACGTGTGCTCGTAGATAAATCCAACCTGGATAGCAAAGGGACGAGGAAGTAGAAATACTGCGAACTGCTGTGTTAGGCTGTGTGTGAGACAGACAGACAGACAGAGACCGGCACTGGCTTTTAGGCAGACTTGTTTCAGGCAGATGTGTCTAGGGTGGTCTGTCCCTCACCGTGGCCCTCTCCTCCAGACTCAAATCCAAAGATTTCCTTGTGTGGATTTTAATTTTCCCTTGGATGACTGCCTCCAAGTTCAGCTCCTCCTCAGCCTAACTGTACGGAATTTCCAATACACAGGCCTTTAATAGGACTCTGGCGCCAGAGTCTTGCTCGGTGGGAGATTTCTGCTCCTGCCCCTGCGGCACTGAGCCGTTCTCACTAGGTCTCACCTTGTCTGTCACATATGCACTTTACTGAAAGATTTAACTTCAAAGCACTTGCAAGCCATGGGTTTGAAGCTGTTGACCGCAGCCCAGGGTCCATGTGAGGCGCAGGGTTCATCTCAGGACGTGGGGTGGGGGCAGCATGGCTTCCTTTTCCTTCCTTTCTGCTTGGTACCACTGGGCGTGGAGCAGTCAGGATTCCTCACCCCGTTTCTTGCCCCCCCCCACTGGGCACCAGGCTGCTCCCTGGCATGAAGCGACTGTGGTATTTAAAGTCGGGTTTGAGGGAGCTTCTCCCCACTCGCTCTCAGAAAGGTGCCAGGGTGATGCCCTGAGTTCTGGATCCAGTTGGCTGTGTGCCCGCGGAGGAGACGGCGGCTGTGACTGGTTGTCTTTCCCGTGTCCCCTGGCACTGTGCGTCTTCCTGCCACAAACCCACTCCCATGGCTTGTCAGCCAGCCAGGCAGTGCCCAGCGGGCTCTGAGCCTTGGTGCCAGCGATGGCTGTTCCTGGCACTGCTGGCAGCATGCACACAGCTCCACGGCTGTTGTCAGCGCAATGGTCTGGGGACATGCACAGAAGGATTTTTCTAGAGTTCCTGGGTGACTGCACTGCTTTGGGACCTGCAGCTCCTCACAGGGTTGGGAGAGCTTCCCTTGTCTTGCTGGTCTTTGCGACTCCCCCCCCCCCCAATCTGGGCATCCACGGCTGTCCCTGTGCTGGCACACCTGTGTCGGCACACCCGTGTCCATTCTCTGCAGAGCGGCGTTCTCTCTTGCTGACGGTACTTCTCAGGGATTTCTCTATCCACACAGCTCGAGGTGAGGTGGAGGCAGATCTTAACACGTTCTTAGCGCGTGTGTAAATTATGACACGCTGGGCAGCATTTCCAAGACGACGCTGGGGCGGGGCTTGCTCAGTGCCACGGCCTTGGGGGCGGAGCCCGGCCCTGCCCTTCCACGTGACTGGCCGTGACTCCGGGCGGACTCTGAAGGCCGTGTGCAGCGCGCGCTGTCCCTCCTCACGCGGGTGAAGGGCGTGTCCGTGGCACACGCACAGGCCCACGGCAGACCTGGGACTTCTCAACCCGCCGACAGCACGGCCCAGCGCGGCTCAGCTCCCCGTCTCGGGCGCTCCTGAGTCGGGGTTCCATCTGTGCTCTAAGGTAAAGGACGTTCAAGATGCCGGGTGGACAGCGGGACTTTGTGGGTGCTGAGGGGCTGTGTTCGGTGGTCTCTGCCATTGCTGCACTGGGACTGGGCTTCTGGGGGCTGAGTGAGGCCCACGGCGGGGGTGAGGCCGGGGGGCTCGCTGTCCTCTGCTGATGAGGAGGCGTGGGCAGTCCCGGGTGCCCACGAAGAGGCCTCGCCCATGGGGAGAAGGGGCACCCCACACAGGCCTGCCGGGAGCTGCCCGTGGCCACCCGCAGGCAGAGCACCCTCCCCCCCCACCTCCCAGGAAGTAAGGTGACTCCGACCTAAGTGTGCTCCGTGGCCCACTGTCTTGTCTGCGCCGGGCCCTGCGTGCACGGCTGCAGTCTCGCTCTCCCGCACTTTACCTTCTCCAGTGTTTTGGACAAGCTAGCACGGTGTCCAAGGTGGGCCGCTGCCTGGGTTCCCTCTGCCAGGCCGCACTGCCCTCCTTGGCGCTGTGCACCCTGCCGAGGACCGCCGGCTGCTGAGAGTGAAGAGCGAGCACTGCTCGGAGACGGGTCTCGGGAGGCGGCACAGCCCAGGTTCCGGCCTGGGCCAGCCGGGCCGTCGCCGGAGCAGCGGGCTGCTGGGCACCAAGGACTTGAACAAGGCTGGACTCCGCCGCAGCTCCCATGTGCACCTTCTCCAGTGCTCCGTGCATCCGGACGGCGCCAGCCAGCTCGGCATGTCTGTGCCCTTCATTCACAGTTCTTCACTAACACGTTAAATGAGCAGCTAAAAAACTACTCCGAAGGAGTTCTGGGTTTTTAAAGAAGGTTGGATTTTACAGCCGGTATTGGAGCTGGAATCCAAGGCCTCCTGCTCTTACTTGGCTTTTTTTTTTTAACTTGACACCACTTGAGCCACATCTTCACCTCCAGCTTTTGGCTGGTTAATTGGAGATAAGAATCTCATGGACTTTCTTGTCCAGGCCAGCTTCGAACCATGGTCTTCTGATCTCAGCAGCCAGGAGTATCCAGGATTACAGGCGTGAGCCACTGGCACCAGCTGAGTTAACCCCTTTTCCAGCGACTCGGCAGAAGTTGGTGCTGAAAGCACACTTTTCCCTCTGCCCAACAGAAACCAACTCCAGGGAAGGCCGCATCTCCTGTTGTGCCCAGACAGCCCCAGCGGCAGTTTGCGGGTATTAGATCCACTTTTGAGGAGACTCCGTTGAGGACACTGTACCCCACAAAGACCTCTCTCTGGTAACTGAGGAGTCTTGGGATTCCCTAAGGAGTTAAGAGTCCTGGGTCCCATTTCCAGGAGCGCAGCCGATCTGACTGGGGTTTTCATGTTCTAACGTAGCTGTGTGGCGGCGCTGCCTGGGTGTGCACAGGCCAGTGCTTCTCACACAGGGGCTTTGCGAGGTGTGGAGAGGGCAGACCCGGGCATGGGGCCTCGCGCCCGCCCGTTACCATGGTAGACGCTGTTTTCTGAATGTAGAGCTTTGTCTTGTATAAAGATCCAGGAAGCTTCTGGATGCTCTCAAGCTGTTGAATATGAACAGAACTGTGCAGATTTCTGAGTGGATTTTTTTTTGAGGTGAGCATTTTGTTACAGCTTATAAAAGACACTTTTCTATTTAGACCTCAGGGCTATCTTGGGACCTTGGAATGATTGCACCCGCAGCAGCTTCAATTCTTGATATTCACAAGGTTCTTAATCTTTCAGTGAAATGTGACACTTTCCGGCAGAAAGAATGTGTTTTCCCTTTGAACTTCCAACAACACCCAGCTTGTGTCATGTTTTAAATGAAATTAAAAAATGATGTAAAGACACAAGGAAATTAATGCTGAAATAATTAAGCACCACTTGAAAAATAAATGTTTTCATGCTACAGAAGTGTGGGATTTGGATCAACTTAGGTTTAGAGAGTTGAAAGAGATGCATGAAATTTTCTGTGTGTGTGTGTGTTTATGTGTGACTTGTTTGAATTGGAGTAGAGGTGCGTGTTGTCATTTCCTTACATTTTCACTGAGTTTCCCAAAGAGAAGGGCTTTACAACTGTGAACTAGCCACGAATAAACACTTTCTCAACCACCCACAGCCCCTCTCCTCCAGAAAGGCAGTGGATTTACTTAATTTATACACACAGGAAAAAATAGACTTTAATTTCATTAAAAAAATTAAACCCAAAAGACATAGCATATGCATTGCCCTTTCAGTTCTCTGCCTAAAATATGCCCTTGGAAAACTTTTAAAATAATTTTGAAATTAGTTTTACTTTCTTCTTGACAGCTTAAAAAAAAAAAAGTAACCCCAGGCAGGAGCCAGTAGCTCACACCTGTCATCCTAGCTACTCAGGAGGCTGAGATCTGAGGATTGCAGTTCAAAGCCAGCCTGGGCAGAGTCCATGAGACTCATCTCCAATACCCCCCTTCCAAAAAAGGCCTGAAGTGGAGCTGTGGCTCAAGCAGTAGAGGCTAGTCCTGCACACAAAAGCTCAGGGACAGAACCCAGGCCCTGAGCGGAAGCCCCAGAACTGGTACACATGTGCGTACACGTGCACACACATGAATGTAACCCCAAATATGGGAAGAACAACACACTCCGTGAAGAGTCTCAGGTGGAGGGTGACATTCCTTCCACTGGCTGGCCTTGGGATGAATATTCTCTTTACCTCCCTTCCTCTCCTCCCCCTCCCTCCCTCCCTCCCTCCTTCCCTCCCTCCCTCCCTCCCCCTCTCTCTGTCTCCGTGTCTCTGTCTCTCTGTGTGCTGGCACTGTCCATTCTCCATTGGTTCCTCATAATTCCTGGCTCTGGTTCTCAGAGGCTTGTCTTGAAGGGGCAGTCGCCAGCCCCAGCCTCCACCCAGGGGCAGGACGATGGCCTGGCACCCATTGGCATGGTGAGGGAAACTGTCACACCTCGGTGAGCATTTCAGATTGGTCATGACGGGCAGGCTGCTGGCGGCTAAGTAGGACGTCAAATGACAATGGGAACCATGGAATCAGCTAGAAAAACCCTGGATTCATCAGACCCTGCCTGGCTCTTCTCCCCAAAAGGCATGCAGGGAAGATGTTTTTGTTTTGTCGGTGGGGCTTGAACTCTGGGCCTGGGTGCTGCCCCTGAGCTCTTCAGCTCAAGGTGAGCACTCTACACTTGAGCCACAGGGCCACTTCTGTTGGTTAAGTGGAGACAAAGAGTCTCGTAGACTTTCCTGCTCAAGCTGGCTTTGAATTGCAATCCTCAGATCTCAGCCTCCTGAGTAGCTTGGACCAGTGCACAGTGAAGATATTTAAACCAGATGACAGCAGGCATCTTCTCAGTCAAGTGAGTGGGGTGTCAACGCAGACAGACTGGAGGCCCAGCAAATTCTTTCTGACCTTGGCATGGTCAGCGGATCGATGGACATGGATTCTATGTCCGGACAGTTCCTGGGGGCTGCTCTGGGCACAGTCCCTTGATGGATGGTCCTCAGCTCCCCATCTTTCCTCAGGTTCCCTATCTCCTCTCTGCCATCCAGCCTGTTGGGTGTCTCTGCAGACCCACGCTGTTCCTGACGGAAGGCCGCGCAGCACAGCGCACCGCGGTGGGCTGAGGGCCTTGTGAAAGGCCACTGGAGTCTCATTCCTGTCCCCTTGAGAGGATTTAGGCTGCACCTGCTCACGCCCAGCCCGAGTGAACTCTGGGCACGGCTAGTCCTTGGCGGGCGGAAAGGGGGCCTTGGCCTCCTCCCCAGAGCCCCACTGCGTCTGCCTAGAAGACACCAGTGTGGTTTGGAGAATGGTAAGGAACTGTCCCAGGCTGTCTGAGAGGTCCCCCACGTGCCCCCTGAAATCCAGCCAGTGGCATGGCTGGCTGATCAGTCTGTGACACACCTGACGGAGCTCGGTCTCCTAGGCAACAGCCATTACTTAGTCCAACCCCCTCCCCAGGTTGGTTTGGCTGGCCTGCCTCTCTCACGCCAAGCTCTCCAATGGAGCTGCACTTGCGCTAGCATCTGTCCTGGCCAGCCCTTGTCATCAACAAAGACATGGCCACTGGGGGTGGCACAGATAACCTCCTAGCCCTGAGGGAAAGGGCCTGTCCTTTCTTAGGTCTTGGCCAATTGCTTTCCTATTCACCTGGCTCAGGGATGGAGGAGAGGAAACTCCCGGGAGCCCCCGGTTTCTGCAGCGGAGTCCTCGGCGCTGGGCCTGATTGCATCCTGAAGCCAGCTGTGCCAAAAGGGGCAGCGGGAGCAGCCAGGCCAGGAGGAGATGAGGGGCCGTGTGGCTCTTGGAAGCCATGACTTGAATCCTACCGTGGGCTTGGAGGGGTAGAGGAAGGGTGGCTGACGCTGCTGTGCTCCCCCGGGGCCTCGTGCTCCTTCGGGGGGCAGCCCTGGCCTGTAGGCACTGGACAGTTCCCTCCCCCTCCTCCTGGAATTGCCTCTGCTACTCAGACGTGGCAGCTCCATTAGCAACGCAGACGCCTGCGGCTGACCAGGTCAAGTACTAGAGCATGCGCCCTCTCTCCTTCTGACCTCCAGGTTCTGCAGTGAAGCAGCTGGAAGAAGGCCAGCAGGGAGCGACGTCTCCTTCGTTCAGGAGGAAGCCCCTCCTGCGTGGCCACTGTGGGCGAGTGGTCAGCTGATTGGGACAGCAGCAGTGACGGTGGTCATGGGCATTAGTTCATCTGTGTACGGTGGGCTGGACATGTCCCACAGCGCAGCACAGAGACCGTCATCCCCATGAGCGGAGGGGACACTGTGGCACGGTGGCGGTGCTGGTGATGGCGTGCATGCTGGGATGTGGCTCACAGAGTGTTTGCCCTCCAAGTCTATAGTCATAGCTTTTCTGTTGTGATCCGGGGAAGTGTAGCTTCCATGCTTTGAGATTTGTGTCATTCCAGGCAAAGTCCCGAGGGCTGCCTGGGGCCACCATGGTGGTGGCACTGTCACCGAGACCCCGGTTCTTCTTCTCATTCTGTTCCCTCATCCTCGGCAGGACTCCCACGGGTGGTCAGCTGCTTGGTGCACCACGCTGGCTGCACCGCTGGACGGAGGGGGAACGCTGTGAGCGGCAGGACCAGGCACATCCTCTGGGTGTCAGCCGCCTTGAAGACTCGGAATGCAGGCATAAAGCTGTTCCTCATCAGCCGGGTGGGAAATGGAGGCAGAGAATGCTCCGCTGCGAAGACGGTATGACAGCCATGGAGAACAGCCAGCCCTGCTGCGGCTGCACAAGCGGCTTCTGACTCATCTCCTGGCAGGTGAGGTGGGGAGGGAGTCCCGTGCACATCCCCAGAGTTCTGGGACCTGGGCCATTTTAGACCTGAGCTTCCCTATGGCTTTGCCTGGGAATCAGCTCCACATCCACACTGTCCGCTCCTGGGTGTCTGCACAGAGGGTCGCCGTGGCGCCCAGCGAGCAGCCCCGAGCTTGGAGTTGGGTTCCACACAGTGAAAGAGGGCCATATGCCCATCTCCAAAGATGTCTTCCCTCCACGGTGTAGCCTCTGGGCACCCTCAGGAGAATGGGGCTTCAGACTTTAAGACCACACCTCTCTGGATTTAGTTGTTTCTCAAAATCTTGAGGCCCTATTTGGTGTGACTTCTATTGGTTGAGCAGAATGTTTTTTCTTTCTCTTTCTCCTTTTTTTTTTTTTTCAATGCTTGGAATCAAACCCAGGGTCTTTCTAGGCTAGGCAAACTATCTACCACTGAGCTGCTGCCCCTCCCACAGCCCTTTATTGATTTTGTTCTTTAAGTACTGGTAGTGGGGAGCATCGAACTTGGTATCAGATCCATAAGCCTTGCCAGCTATTAGCTATGTGAGTTAAGGATGGTATTTTACTTCCTTAAATGTCAGTTTCTGCATCTGCAAAGACATAATATCTAGAGGTGGGGATGCCTCGTACCTAGTAAGTGCTCAATAAATGTGGGGAGGAAGGTGATGGTGGATAATGATGTCAACAATGATGAGAATAGCAATGATGGTGGTGACGATAGTGATGATGGTGGTGGTGACAATAGGGATGATAGTGATGATTGTGTGGTGGCAGCAGCTAAGGGATGGATGGGTTGTGAGTACTACAAGTGATGTGATTTGGACCCAGAATCTTTTCTAGTAGGAAATGTCTATTTCAGTGCCTCATGATTAATGAAAGACAGTATAACTCTGGCTAAGTTTACATGGCCTAAACAAAATAAATAGATGCCCATTTATCATTACCTCACTCTGTTCAGGGTACCTACATGACCTTGAAGAAATATGTTCAGCAACTGATGCTGCTCTCTCTCTCTCTCTCTCTCTCACACACACACACAAACTGGAAGTTTTGTGTCTGCAAGGTAATAGTCTCATAGTTTTGTTGTTACTGCTTTGGGAAATCCTTTTGGTGTGCTAAGAGCATCTGTGAGGATGGTTACGTGACCTGTTAAGCTGAGGACAATTGATAGCAAGCAGGAGACACTTCAGCTGTGATTCTGGACAATTCCTATCTGATCGACTTCATCAGTTATTGGCAGTGGACGGCCAAGCTTCACGTCTTTCAGGGCTGTTGCATGTGTCCAGTGAGCTGTCACAGTCATTTGCGGTCATTTCCTTAGTATGCCTGATGGAAGTGAGATTTGTGGTGACCCCCAAGCAATGTCTTTAAGTGTGTGTGTGTGTGTATGTGTGTGTGCACATGCACCAGTCCTGGGGCACTGTTCCTGAGCTTTTTGCTCAAGGATGGCACTCTTCCACTTGAGCCACAGCTCCACTTCCAGCTTTCTGGTGGTAAATTGGAGCTACAGGGCTCCTGCACTTGCCTTCCTGGGCTGGCTTTGAACCTTGATCATCAGGTCGCACATGCATGAGCCAGCATGCCCGGCTTTGTCTTTAGGTCTACTTGTTGGCAGTGGTGATTGTA